CAAAAAAAAAAAAGAGAGAGAGAGACAATAATATAATCAAAATCCATAAATTAAGTCATATTGAAATAAAAATTATAACCCCATGGCATGAGGGTTAATGCACCTGGATACCACATGGCCAACCATGATTCAAGTTCTAGACACAATACATTGAAAAGCAGGCCAGGCACACATTCAGATGTGCCCAAAGTCCTGAGAGGAGAATGAAGAAGAAACTGAGGCACGGCCATATTTCTGGTTTGAGATTTCTCATTCTTTCCTTCCTTCCTTCCTTCCTTCTCCTTCCTTTCTAGCAAACACACATGCCCTATAGCAAAGACTGAAAGAAAAAAAAAAAAAAAGCATAACGCCATGTCCAGCTTGGAGTCAATAACAAATGTAACTGCAGTCTTGGAAGGCATATGGTTAACCTTGACTTTGGATCTCCAGGTCACTCTAAAATCAAGCCTGTGAATAAATGCACATGCCTAATATCCTGATGAGTTAGAGAGCTGGGGAAACATGGTAATGAATCCCTGTGTATGTGCTTCTCTCTTTCTCTCAATCTTGAGTGGATATGAATGCTTTATCATGAATAAAATAAACCAAGAAAAGAAGATGTAGTAGAAATCTAAGTTTGGATAGTTTTTGCACACTAGTGCTTCCATTCTTTCTTTATTGTTTTTAGGTTTTTGCCATAGGGTGTATATATATGCTCACTGGAGACAGACAGAAGGAAAGGGAGAAATGGTGAATAGTTATACCACAATCCCTTCTATTCTCCTCTTGAGATTTTGGGTACGTGCACACACATGTGCCCAGTATGATTTTCAAGCTGCCAGGTCCAAGACACAAACCAGTAGCCCATGTGAGAATCTAGTGCCTTAACCACCATACCACCTGCTCACAACAGTGCTTCACTTTTATCAGAGTCATTATTGAAAAATCCTGAGGCTAAATTGGTGGCTACATGGGCCTCACCAAGAAAAAGCACAAACCACTAGAGAGAAGAGTGAAGTTATCTGAAATGAATCAGGCTCTCTTGAGGCACCACATGGCTAAAGCCTCACCTGCCATCTAGTAAACCAGAATAGAAACTACCCCAGCTGAACCAAACCCAAAATGTAAATTCAAGGATCTTTTAGCAAATAAACTGGTTAGGTTTAAGAATACTTAGTTTATACCTTACACAGAAAATGCTAAACAATACATTTATGCACCAGCAATGTTTTTAACAAAATCATATGAGACAGAAAGTCTTAAATACATGTCAGAAATAATCAATAGAACTTCACAGCCATGTGTAAGACTTTTGAAAAACCTACAGAGCAATTTTGTGTACATTAGTAGATGAAGTTTTAAGATTTTTATATACTATAAGTCTCTGTAACTATATAAAAAAAATAAAAAAAGACAGCAGATCTCCTAGCAGTTATCACTGGACTATCACATAACTGACCACTGTTTGAGTACCAGGCCTGGTGTCTTAAAACTCACACTGGGTATATGTGCATGCATGCCCAAGATCTCAGAAGAAGAAAGGAGAAGGGACTGCGTGTGACCATCCCCCCTAGGGAGAGATTTCTTACTTTCCCTCTCACTGTCTCAGTCTCTCTCTCTCTGACATGCACATGTATACTAACAGAAAAACTCCTACACACACACACAAAAATTAATTAATAAACAAAACAGAAGGATTTGTTACTCATACAAGAGTACTGCATTACATTTTATTTACATTTAAAAAAATTGGTTTAAACTAAAAGTGTCATATAGTCTAATTTTCCTATTTTACATAATATAAAGCAGACTCTTATGGGTCAGTGAGAAGCACTGTGGTTAAGGTACTGGATTTCACATTGCTGAGTATGTGGTTCAAGTGCCAGATCCAGAAGCACTGTGGGTAAGGTACTGGATTTCATATTGCTGAGTATGTGGTTCAAGTGCCAGATCCAGAGGCATGAAAACCGTGCCAGCCACATGAGTAAGTGAGTGAATGTGTGTGTACACCCAAAATCACGGGAGAAAAGAGAAGGTATTTCAGAACTGGCCATTCACCAAGTTTGGGGGAGGGGGATTCTTTCTGGTTAGTATGTGTGTCCTAAAGCAAAAATATCTTTAAAAAACAGAAGAAATAAAGGCTCTAGTAAATTTTCTGCAGAATTTATTATCTTAATAAGACATTGTTGTTATTAAGTAGAAAACTCTTTGAAACCACATAAGTCACAAAATTTGCTGAGGGATAGGAAAGGTATTGCAAGTCATGTTTGTGTTAACCACAATGTCACACAAAAAAAATTGAAATTAAGCAAATGGTTCATTTGATTGAAATCTGGTAAAAAAACAGGTAACACTAGCCAAAATGTCAGAATGTCTAGCATCTACAAATAACCAGACTCTGAGAAAGACACATCTCAAATCTAATTTGTTTCCATTTTTCTTATAAGGTGGAAATACTTTGGCAAATCCTTCCTGAACTACTAAAAAAACCTATCAAGATAGAGGATGCATCTGCTTTTTTCTACTTGCCAAAAATTTGGTGACAGATCAGGTTTAAGTGAGCTCAGACACAGGAAACAATGACAACAGATTGAAAGAATGGAGTCTGTTTACAGAGCACTGTAGACCAACACTCTCAGGATGACAGGTTCCAACTTCATGCCAGGCCACACTCTAAGCTTTCTCCAATAAGTAACATCATTAGGGCTTTGCCTACCCATCTCAGTCAAACTCTATCCCTTCTAGAAGTTGGTCCAAACTTCTGAGCAGAATCCAGTGCTTTAGGAGAAGGTGCAATTATCCAAATTTTGTCCACTCTAGGGAGAAAGATCAATAATTACTTAGGTAAACTGATTTTTTTTCCTTTCCCAGGCTCTTCTGTCACTGCTCTGAAGTACTAATACAGTATTCAGGCCATAGGGGTGTTCTTTCAGGTAAGATTCCTATCTGTATAGTATAATTTTCTAACTTCATAATACTTTATTCCCAATAAAATGCTACCATTCACCAGTACTCCAAACTGCCTAACAGAAATCACTGTCATTGGATTCTGAATTTGAACTCGTATAAGATTCTTTTTTTCCCCTTTAGGTTTTTGCCATAGGGTGACTGCGATGGCTGGAGAGTGACACAAAAGAGGGAGGGGGATGAGAAATCACCCAGCAAGGATGATGGCCACACCACAATTCCTTGTCCTCCATTCTCCTCCTAGAATTTTGGACACAAAAGCACATGCACCTAGTGATTTTCAAACTGCCAGGTCTTGGACTGAAGGAAAGGTTGCTGCCTCCTTCGGCCAAGTGGGAGTTCAAAACCTTAACCACTACACCACCTGATGGCCCCTAGTGGCAGTGAGGAAAGGCTGCTGGATCCACATGCAACTTTGTAGTTTGATTTCCAGATCCAGTGGCTTGAATATTATATCCAGAGTATGTTCACATGTGCCCAAAATCACAAGAGGAACCTGGAGTAGAAGGGATTTTGGCATGGCCACACTTCTGGGTGGTGATTTCTCCTTCCTCCCCACCTACCCTGCCCATCTCTGTATCTCTCAGGCAAGCACTTGAGCCCAATAGCAAAAATATTAAAAGAAAAAAAGTAACTTACCCAAGAATGCTAGGAAGGCCAAAGAAATGCAGGAGGGGACCAGACGCTTCATTTACTTTAAGACACCAAGACACCCCACAAACACAGTTGCCATAAGAACACTCTCTCTGCAAAGACTCCACAGTTATTTCACTGAGAAACTGGGGGCATTTCACTAGAACAGGATATAGGCTAGTATTACACATGGGTAAACTTAATGAGATACAACGTAGCTTCCGGGATATGAAGTGCTAGGTGTACAGACCCAACACCTGGGCAGGTTCTTCTCTGCTGGTCACAAAGAATTAGAAATGTGGACAAAAGGAGAGTACAGTAAGCAAAGTTTATTAGAAAAGAGTCAACACTTCCAGCTAAGCAAATGGATATAACCAGGGTGTCAGAATGGACTCTGACAAGAAAAATTTTTAAAATATGTGAAAATTAATTTTCCATAAGGAAATGCAGAAAAAAATACTTTAAAAAGCAAAGCCAGCACAAGAGTTTTGTGCCACCAGGAGTCTTCTAATCATTGTCCTTGAGTTGGACACTGTGCTCAGGACTACAGCCAGTTTGTCTATTTCTAGCCAGTCAGCAAGTGCTCATAAATATTTTGAAATACAAAAGAAGAGTTTATTGTTCAAGGTCCTTCTCTCTGCTGCTCTCCAGACCAAGAGACAATGCACTTTTTATTTGGAATGTAGCAATGATACAGATCATGCTACTTTCAGCTGTCATTATCTTAAGCAGGCTGCAAGCAGCTTTTCATCCAAGAAAGAAGCAAGAGCTAATAATTTATGTCTGCTGAGAGTTGTGAATGTATTCTTATTAAAGGCTTCACTGTACTGACTCCAGTTGTCCCCTAACCTCCAATCCGTGGACTCCTCACCCTACCTACCTAACCAGAGAGCTTACTCCTCTCTCATCAGGATCCTGTAGCAGAGCTGGAAGCTGAACTTCTGGTCCTCTGACCCCCTGGGTCCTCAACCTGAAGCAGGAGAACCTCCATTGTGAACTGTATATTGGAAACTTGCTTAGAACTTTTTGTGTAAACAAGTGTGATTAACATTCCAGCTGTCTTTACTAAATAACCTGAAACCCCCTACCTTGAGAACTTCCTTAGTGATAAGCTCCTTGCCCCAAGCCATGAAG